CAACCCACTGAGCCACCCAGGCGCCCCTTCCTTGCCCATGTTAATGATAGTCTTTGGGTCTCGTGCACATCATTGAAGGCTGATATAGATTTGGGTACTTCCTGAATGAACCTGGCTGGACTTGGCCAAAAGACTGAGAATAAGAGACCCCCTCCTTTGGCTCTTCATTAGAGCCTTTCCTCTCCTTTCCTCTTAGGAAAGGAGAAAACCAAATGGTTTGGAAAGATCACTTTTGTGGCCTTGCTATGTGCAGGTGAACTGACAATAAAATGTCTTGAAGTTGATCAGTAAGGAGCACAATAGCAGATACAATCATAGGGGTTTATGAGTGGGCATAGACTTTTTTTTTTTAAGATTTTATTCATTTATTTGTCAGAGAGTGAGCGTGCGCACAAGCAAGTAGAGTAGCAGGCAGAGGCGGAGAGAAAAGCAGGCTCCCCGCCAAGCAAGGAGCCCGATGTGGGACTCAGTCGCAGGACCCTGGGATCATGACCTGAGCTGAAGGCAGTGGCTCATCCGACTGAGCCACCCAGGCATCCCGGGCAGAGAATATTTTATTAGCTGCGGGGGGTGCCTGGCTGGCTTAGTCAGTAGAGCGACTCTTGATGTCGGGATCATGAGTTTAAGCCCCAGACTGGGTGTAGAGATTACTTAAAAAAACAAAAAAAGCAGCAGCAGCTGTGGAACTAAAAGATGGGCTTTAGCTCCCAGGCTCCAGGTGTGAGGAGCAGTGAATCCAGCAGAAAAAATTTAGGGAGTACCTCTTCCAAAATAGGTCCATCTCTGGGTTTACCTCCTGCATCATTCTAGAGCATTCCACCCCACCGTAACCGAAATGCTGTTACCGTTATTGGCTCTGGCCTTCCTGTCCATCTGCAGGTGTTTTAAGGACTTCCAGTTGCAACAGGCCAATAAGATGGAGTTGCGGAAGCAACAAGAAGATGTGAGTGTTGTCCGTCGCACTGAGTTCTACTTTGCTCAGGCACGATGGCGCTTGACAGAGGAAGACGGACAGCTAGGAATTGCTGAACTGGAGCTGCAGCGGTTCCTCTACAGCAAGGTATCGGGTATACAGTCATACAAAGGCAAGCTGTGTTGAGAGGCATTGACCTGTCTCAGGAGTCTTATAGAAAGAGACACAAAGAAGCTAATTATTATATGATTACTGATGATGTTACTGATGATCGAGACATGAGCATAGTTCTCCTCAGACACAATTGTTTGTACTTTGAAATTACACAGATATAGATGAGCTTGATCAAATGCTCCTTTCACTGAATAAGAGTATCCCTAGAAATATGGCCCAGAGGGAAGTCATCTTCCAAGTCCAGCTTGGAATAGAATTGTTAAATCTATATGGACATTCAGCTCTCCAGCAATAAGTAACTAATGGCATGGAGGAAAGGACATGATTCATTATTCCACACCCTTTTCCCCCTGGGAGTTTGGAAATATGTAAGACCATTTTTTAAATATCACAGTGACTGTGGGAAGTGCTATTGGCACTTAGCATCCTTGCCAACCGTGCCCTCGCCAGTAGTGCCCATGAGAAACACTGGATGAGAGGGTGAATTGATTGTATGAAATTGAAAGAGATGCCAAAGGTTGGGATTAGACATTTGGAGAACCTAAAAATAGGAAATGTAGCCATTCTCTGGCAAGCTCCTGAGAAAGGCTAATTATAGTATATTGGGTCGGGGGGTGGTGGGAAATCTTTTTATAGGTGAATAAGTCTGATGACACAGCAGAACATCTTCTGGAATTGGGCTGGTTCACTATGAACAACCTCCTCCCCAATGCGGTCTATAAGGCAAGTCTTATTTCCCCATTCCTCCCCCATTCTCATGCTTCCTAACAAAGGGCATTTGTGGGGCGCCTGGGTGGCTCAGTGGGTTAAGCCTCTGCCTTCGGCTCGGGTCATGATCCCAGGGTTCTGGGATCGAGCCCCGCGTCGGGCTCTCTGCTCAGCAGGGAGCCTGCTCCACTTCCTCTCTCTGCCTGCCTCTCTGCCTACCTGTGATCTCTGTCTGTCAATAAATAAATAAAAAATCTTTAAAAAAAAAAAAAAAAAAAAGGGCATTTGTAAGATTTTATTTATTTGAAAGAGAGAGAGAAGAGGGGCAGAGGGAGAGGAAAAGAGAGAATCCTAAACAGACTTTGTGCTCAGTGTGGAGCCCGACACAGGGCTAGATCTCATGACCCTGAGATTATGACCTGAGTGGAAATCAAGAATCAGATGCTTAACTGAGCCACCCAGGTGCCCCCTAACACAGGGCATTTGTAAGGGCCCTTTCACATAAATCCAGGGTGGGAGGTAGTGTGGTGATCTGAGAGGTTGAAAGCTTGCCTGGCTTAGCAAGACCATTGCTTTTTCTCTTAGTTTGAACAGACTTGTGGGTTGATTTGTCACTCATTATCCTGTAGGTAGTCCTGCGGCCCCAGAGCTCCTGCCAGTCTGGGCGACAGCTGGCCCTTCGCCTCTTCAGCAAAGTCCGGCCCCCTGTTGGGGGTATTTCTGTTAAGGAACATTTTGAGGTTAGTATACAGTCCTTTGGGGATACAGAAACAAAGGGCACTCAAAAGCTATCTGTGTGTTACTATGCTACATTAGGGGTAGGTAAAACTGAGGGATGATGTCTGAGCTTAATTGCTTCTTCAGCCTTTTTCCTCTTTAGGTAAATGTGGTGCCTCTCACCATCCAGCTGACACACCAGTTCTTCCATAGAATAATGGGCTTTTTCTTTCCTGGCCGAAGTGTGGAAGATGATGAGGTTGGAGATGAAGAAGATAAGTCCAAACTGGTGACTACTGGTGAGAACTTTTATGGTGGAGCTCCAGAAGACTGCGGTAGTGGCCCCGAGATAGCTAAAACTTCAGAAAGAGGATGGCAGCTGGTATGCTCGCTTTCTCGTAGGGATTCCAGTGGTGAAGCCTCGGCAGCTGATTGCGGCGGATGATGCGGCACCACTGGGCGCTGGGAAGGGTGTGGCTCAAGGCTTAAATCGGAGTTCTGGCGTCAGGAGGTCATTTCGGAAAGTACCTGAGGTACCACACATGCCCCTAATGGCGGAGAGATGGGAAAGTCCTGGGGTTCCCTGTTTGGCCCCACTAGGGATTTCTTCATTCTTTTCCAGGGATGAAAGGAGATGGAGATGTTTGGGGTCCTAAGTTTCTTCCGATGGTTTCAGGGACTCACATTCCTTTCCTGCCTTTCCTAGCACCCTGTGGATGATATTGACAAGATGAAAGAGCGAGCTGCCATGAACAACTCGTTCATCTACATAAAGATTCCACAGGTTCCTCTGTGCGTCAGCTACAAGGTCTGCTTCTCCCCAGTACTTTCTAGAACAGGGGGGAATGGAACCAGATAAGATCAGAGATTAAAGTTAGGCACCACCGTCTACTAGTTTGTGAAGCAGGTCTGTGGGTGGTAACCTGCTGTTCCCTCTGCTGCCTTCGGGAGTCAGTACCATTACAGGATGAGGTAAAGGGAAATCAGTAGCTGAACTCCTACTGTAGGAAAGCACTGGGCTCGGACTCAGGTATGGCTTGAACTAAAAATGGCAGCTGATATATCTTTTGATTCTTCTTTTCTCTGTCCCCTCCCTCACCTTCTCTTGCAGGGTGAGAAGAACAGTGTGGATTGGGGTGACCTTAACCTGGTGCTGCCCTGTCTGGAGTACCACAACAACACCTGGACATGGCTCGACTTTGCCATGGCCGTCAAGCGGGACAGCCGCAAAGCCCTGGTTGCCCAGGTATGCCGGCAGAGTTTGTGGAGGTTTGGTTAGCAGGGGCTGGCAAACAGATCCTGTGCTCAGGTGCATTTCATTGTAGGACATATGTAGGACAAGCAGCCTTTGGGGATGGGCAGCTGAATGAAGTGAGCAACTTCTATCCCTACACGCTCCGTGACTTTGGTCAGATGATTAAATTAGATGGTTACTGAGTATTTTGTATATCTTAACAGTTGATTTTTAGGAAACTGAGGGCTGACACAACTTGAGGTTCAGAGTGGGTTCTAATTAGACTGTAAGCTTCTTAAAAGCAGAGATCATTTTATAATTTGAATTGCCCCTCTGTGCCTTCATGTAAGCTTAATAAATCTTTATTGACTTGTTCACATTGATTTATTCTGCTTGTACTGCTAATATTTACCTTCCCTTTTACTCCTCTCTAACCTATCAGGTAATCAAAGAGAAGCTAAGGCTGAAGCCTGCAACAGGGTCTGAGGTCCGGGGAAAGCTAGAAACTAAATCAGACCTCAACATGCAACAGCAGGAAGAGGAGGAGAAAGCCCGGCTCCTCATCGGTTTAAGTGTGGGCAACAAGAACCCTGGCAAGAAGTCCATCTTTGGGAGGCGCAAGTGATCCAGCATCCAAGAGTGGCGGCAGTACAGGATCTGACTCTGGCTTGGGCCCCAGGGACTTGCGGGGTGGGAGGTGCTTCCCTTTACCTATCAGGATTTGTGGGGGGTCAGGAGCCCACAGGGTACTGTGGAGAGAGGCACTGCTCTTTTAGCAGCTGGCCTGTTCCCTGCAGAATACAGTGGATAATAACGCTGAGTTCTACCTCACACTGATCAGCAGGCCAAGGGCCAGAGAGGCATCAAGAGAGCAAGACCCAGGGAATGGGCCCAGGACTAGGATCTGGTTCCACTGGGGCCAACTGAAAGGGTGGGAGGGACAGTTCTGATCAAGTGTGATAAATTTTTATAGACCTATATATAAATATATACATATATATTTCTAAGTGTAATTGCTCTCCCTCTGTGTTAGAAAGTTGAGGGGAGGAGTCGATCTCCTGTTCCTCATTCCACTGCCTTGTATGAGAGGTATTAGGGTTCTGGGGGGAAATCAGCCCCTTCTCAATCTGTGCCAAGTTCACTTGGGAAGATGGCAATAGATGCCAGGGCTGGCCATGTGTCCCCTTGGGGTATGCCCTGGAGAATGGTAAGAAAACGACTTAAAGAGAAAAAAAATATATTTTAAATTTGATTTTTTTTTTCTTTTTGGTGTGTTAAATGCATGGGTTTCAACCTATGTTTCTCCCTCCCCATCAACCTAAGACATATCCTCTAGCTACCACTTCAATGGGGATGACCTCTTCTCTCCTCTGTGAGACTGTATCACAGATACATCCCAGCTCTGCTTTGACACTGGCCTCCTAATAGGTCTCTACACATTTTACTGCTGGCTCAGCCTATTCATAACTGGGGTTGGGGGGAGGATAGAATTTGGGGATAAGAGTGGGGTTTGGCTGCATCAACTTGCATCTCCAGTCATGAATAGCAGAGAAGAGGCGGGGCTCATGTGTAATATAGCATCAGGGGCAGGGGTTGCTTATGTAACTAGGACAGCAGATTTAGCAGGAGGAGAGGAGGCAGAGGCTTTGGATGGGAACAGTGAGCTGTCGGCAGGGGCAACATGCCCCGGTGGCTACTTCTCATAAGGTAGGCTGTGGGGCTCTGGTAGCCTGTTTAGGGGGAGGTAAAGGGGGCATGGGCTTAAGGCCTGGGAACTGACTTAGGAGGGAACTGAGGAGAATGTTAGTGATGCCCACCGTGGAGGGGAACTAGTAGGCTATGCTGTGAAAATACCCCAATTCCATACCAAGAGCCACAGGCTGAATCTCTGATGCCTCAAGGGGAAAAATATCCAAATACTGGTTTCCTAGAGGATTTAAATCATGTCCAGGAAATTTAGGCCTTGGCCCAAAGCAACGGTAATGGCAATGACAATTTTGCCTGGTGCTCAAAAATGGATCCCTAAGGTGATTTGAGGGTATGTCTTCTAAGATGGGAAGAACTTGTAATGCCTCAAGGGCAGAGGTTTAGAGTGGCTCCCTTGGTTCTCAGCAGGGTGACAGCATCCGGGGTCCCTGGGTCCGAGGCTGGAAGAGCCTCTGGTCAGGTGTGGGGACTACCAGGTCAGGTGTGGAAGAGCTGTGGGGACTACGGGGGCATCAGTACCTACACCAGGAGTCCTTGGAACCGGCCCCTTTGCTAACAGAGAAGCCTCTGTCTGAGTGGCCAGTGCCTCAGTTCGTCAACCTTTTTCTGCCGGAATTTCCCATTAGGCCCCTCAGGGGGCATCACCAGCTGAAGGTAGGTCAGTCCCTGGAAGGGGTCTCAGTCTTGGGGAGACATCTAAGAATGGCCAGAGTTTCAATTGTGCTATTCTCCATTTCTCTGTACAGATTTTAGGCCTTGTAGCTAAAGGCTCCTTCGGAACAGTCCTCAAGGTGCTAGACTGTGGCCAGAAAGCAGTATTTGCAGTGAAGGTAGGGACCTAGGTACTCTTCCACATCATTCTCTAGTCCCTGCCTCCAATCTTGGTTTCAGAAAGGTTTGGTAAGCATAAACAACCTGTTGGGAGTCACCACTCCTCTCCTTTTATAGGTGGTGCCCAAGGTAAAGGTCCTACAGAGGGACATCCTGAGGCAGTGCAAAGAGGAGGTTAGCATCCAGGTATGCACAGAGCCCAGGAATGGATCCTAGGAAGAAGTAAACCACAGGTGGACAAAGTACCTTTCCTGTCCCAACTGCCCTGCTCTTCCTGGTTCTGCCCACTCCCTCTGCTTCAACCAAAGTAGATCCTGGGAAAAGTAGTTATCAGCAATTAATTCTAGACCCTTCCATGGAAATCTCTCCAGCATGTCATAGTGTGTTCCTCAGTATCGTGCTGGTTTTGGAATTACCAGGCAGGAAATCCCTACTTAGTTCACCTGAACTGAGAGGTGGGGCAGCAGCTCCTTTTCTGCAGAACTAGGTAAATCCTGACTTATTGGCTGCCTTGATTCTCAGTGACATTTTACCTCCCTAACTTCCTGTTTTCTTCATTCCTAGCGACAGATCAACCATCCTTTTGTACACTGTTTGGGGGACAGCTGGCAGGGAAAACGGCACCTCTTCATTAGTGAGTGATGGGCCTCTCATTCCCAAGAACCCTTTTATTGTACTCCCCACCTGAGAATACCCATTCCTTTGGCCTGTACTCCCTTTGCTCTGTTTCCCTTCTCAGAGCACTTTTCTCTCCCAAGAGAGGGAACAACGGGTGGCATCCGTTTGGGCAAGAGGCCTAAAATGCCTTGAGCCCAGGCATAGTAACCCCAAACATTGCCTAGACTTCTGGTACTTTGCAGTGTGCAGCTACTGCAGTACAGATCTGTACTCCCTGTGGTCCTCTGTTGGCTGCTTTGCTGAGGCTTCCATCCGCCTCTTTGCTGCTGAACTGGTTCTGGTGCTATGTAAGTGAAACAAGAATGGTAATGGAAATGAGGGAAGAATTGAGAGGGAGGGGCAGAGAAGAGATCTGATATTAACTCTGGAGGTCAAAGAACAGGGATAGGAATGGGATGGGAACTACAGGAGAGCTTTAGCACACCCCAAACTTCTTGTCATCTGCAGGCTATCTCCATGATTTGGGCATCATCCATCGGGATGTGAAGGTAGAGTTAAGTGCTTTTTTCTTTGTCTGAAGTGGGGCCTCAGAAGTTCCAACAGATCTAAGAAGGCAGCGGGGGAGGGAGCTGAGAAGAGCTGACCTTGGGGCCTTCAGGAGTGCTAAGGATTTGGGCAAGGGCCATCAATGTATAGGCCTGAATACTGAATAGGGCATGTTTCTCAGCTGGGAGGTATACATGATGGAAGAGGGTTGAAAGGAAGAGGACGGGAAAAAAAAAAAAAAGGAAGAGGATGACTAATAACTTCTCACCTGTGATTTTTCAGATGGAGAATATCCTTCTGGATGAACGAGGTAAGTCCTTTTCTTTTCCTAGGCCCAGAATGAAAGGACCCTCAGTTTGGGAATAAGTTGTGGCTGATGAGGGGAGGACCAGAGTGGTGCTGTTGCTTTATCTGTCATAGGCCATCTGAAACTGACAGACTTTGGTCTGTCCCGCCGCCTGTCCCAGGGAACCCGAGCCTATACTATCTGTGGCACTCTTCAGTACATGGGTGAGAGAGGGGCTAAAGCTGGTGGGTAAGCATTGGCAGGAGTCTAGTTGATTGATGTCAATGACAACTGTCTTTCAAATCTAGCCCCAGAGGTCCTGAGTGGAGGGCCTTACAACCACGCTGCTGATTGGTGGTCCTTGGGTGTCTTGCTTTTCTCTCTGGCAACTGGGAAGGTGAGAGAATGGTAGGGATTTTGAGCAAAGAGAGGAGCTTTGCCCTGTAATGGGAAAAAGACCTTAGGAAATCTTGCCTCACTCCTACCAACCAATGATACTGTGTCTCCCCCGCCCTAACCCGGCCCAACTCAGTTCCCAGTGGCTGCAGAGAGAGATCATGTGGCCATGCTGGCAAGTGTGACCCACTATGGTTCTGAGATCCCAGCTTCTCTTAACCAGGGGCTCTCACTCCTGCTCCATGAGGTAAGGGTGAACACTATTTTCCTTCTATCCCTATCACTGAAGTGATACTTCCCCTTTCCTCTAATAATCTGGCCAGGGTGGGCGTGTGCTCCAACTTGATCAAGTACCACCTCACCACTCGCCCTCTAACCAGCACTATAAATTCCAGTTCTGAGTTTTTCATCTTTCATCTATCCTCCCCATCCATAACAGGTCACTTCTGAGAGAGAGGGCCAGTGCTACTCTCTTACCAATACAGCGCCTTTCTTCCTAGCTTTGCCCCGAAATCAGCCTGTTTCTCTCTTTCAAATCTTCTTTAGGATTCTTCTTCCTGCTCTCCATAGCTTGATGAACTTCTCCTTTTCCAGCTTTTCTGTTTAGCCCCCTTCCCATTCCAGTTCCTCACCCTTCATGCTCTATTTGCCTTCAGCTCTTATGCCAGAATCCCCTCCAGCGTCTGCGTTACTTGCATCACTTCCAGGTCCACCCTTTCTTTCGGGGTGTGGCCTTTGACCCAGAGCTCCTACAGAAGCAGCCAGTGAACTTTGTCATGAAGGCGCAAGCTACTCAGCCCAGTCCATCGGAGTCCATGATTTTCAAGGATTTTGACTGTAACCTGGAGTCCTACCTGGTCCATCCCAGCCTTGCTTGAGCCCCTCTACTATAGATTTGAGCCCATCTGGGAACCTGAGGATTTCTTCCACTGCCAACTCAGTACGACCACTTTGATGATCTGGTTTGTTTTCAATCCGTAGCCTCTTACCATTCTGTTACACTTTTTGGACCAGAGTTCAAATCTTGGGCATGCTGCTATTGGCAGCCACAATTCCTGACCCCTCCCACCCTCTAATACAACCCACCTCTCAATTCAACATCTCATATCAGAGTGTCAACCTTTTCCTTTGCTTCATTTCTTCAAAGCTCATACCTGAAGTTTTCAGCCAGAGGCTTATTCTACTTTTCCTGTTCCTTCCCTCTGCCATATTTCCTTTCATTATTTATTCGAGAGGGGAGGGGCACAAGGAGACAGAATCTTTTTTTAAGATTTTATTTATTTGACAGAGAGAGAGAGATCACAAGTAGGCAGAGAGATGGGGGGGTGGGGAAAGCAGGCTCCCTGCTGAGCAGAGAGCTTGATGCAGGGCTCAATCCCAGAACCCTGAGATCATGACGGGAGCCGAAGGCAGAGGCTTAATCCACTGAACCACCCAGGCGCCCCAAGGAAACAGAATCTTAAGCAGGCTCCATGCCCAGCACAGAGCCTGACATGGGGCTCAGTCTCTCGACCCTGAATTCATGATCTGAGCTGAAATAAGGAGTTGGATGCTTAACCGACCAAGCCACTCAGGCACCCCTGCCATATTTCCTTTCTTGAGCAATATTAACACTTCATGGGACCTTAAGGTGCTATTTATAGGCTTGTTGGAAGCAATATGAATGTTTTTCAAAGGTCTCATAAGCTGGCATTTTTAAAAAAAGATTTATTTATTTGACAGAGATCACAAGTAGGCAGAGGCAGGTGTGGGGGGGAGGGGGGGTGGGGAAGGCAGGCTCCCCGCTGAGCAGAGAGCCTGATGTGGGGCTCCATCCCAGAACCCTGGGATCGCAACCTGAGCCAAAGGCAGAGGCTTTAACCCACTGAGCCACCCAGGTGCCCCATAAGCTGGCATTTTAACCCCTAAATATGCAGTTAAAACATAAGACCTGGGGGCTCAAAGCCAGTCCGTAACAAATCTAATTTTTAAAAATTTCAAAAGTGAATTTAAAATGTGAGGAATAGGAACTGAAACAAATGTGGGTTAAATGTCTTCTAGGGCTGATTGGGATAGCTATTGAATTTTTTTTTCCAAGACAAAACCTCTTCAAAAGACAAGATTCTTAAACTGATCATTTTCCTAGAAAACCTAGGATTCACATTCTGATGGACAAACCAAGGGATTAACAGGCATGACGTCAACCTTCAGATTTAAGGTTAGATGTATTTCGAGAACCTTTTCCTAAAGGAAAAGGTAAATCATCTGGACCTTAAATTTGTATGTATTTCTGGCGTTTACTGACTTCTTTTCATTTTTCTTAAACTTCTCAAAACCATTTAAAAATTTTTTTAATTTATGTATATAAGTAATCTCTACACCCAATGAGGGGTTCAAACTCCCAACCCTGAGATCACGAGTAGCACGCTCTTCTGACTGAGGCAGCCAGGAGCCCTTCAAAGACTTCATTTTCATTATTCTTCAGTTATTTCTGATCTCTCTTTACAGACCAAAAGGAGTCTGGAACACCCTGTATACATGTGTTTATTAATTCTGTTCCCTGGACTAAGCCAGATTTTCCCTGTATAAAGCTGGCATTTTACTGGTCTCTGCAAAATTGCTTTCTCTGGATTATACTTTGGCAATCTAGGAAAATCCCTATGAAATTTAACTGCTGTGGATATACTATAAAGGGTGTTCATTATAATTCATAATGTTCAATTTAAGGATGCATGGGAGAAATTTCCTCTGGACCCAGCTGTGCTTTTCCTAAATTGCTATTTGGTTTTACCTTAAAGACACTAAATATTCAACAGACTGTATTTTTCTCTTTATATCAGTGCTAGGCCACTTAAAGCCTAATTTGTAGTCCACTTCCAGCAAGTGTTTAGGACTTCATGTTGTATATTTTGTATGCTAGCCACATTCTTGGATCCATCTTTGCTACCTTTATTTTCTTTTTTTCTGTTTCTAAATGAATAATAAAATGTAACATTAATCCTTTTATCTCATTTGTTTCTCTTTAGATACTATTTTAGCTTTCCTACATTTTTTTTGTAAAAGTTGTAGTGACCAGAACTGCATATTGGATAAAAACCCTGAACACTAGAAATAGGAATTAATGGTTTCTAAACTCGTTAAGAGTATTAGACTTGTGCTTAGATCCACCAATAACTATCTCAGAGTCTTTACACAGTTATTTGAACTTCTCTGGATCTTAGTTTCCTATATATAAAATGAGGAGGTTATAATCACTGGTTCTTGATTGAAGGGGATTGGGCTTCAGAGTTCTGTGATGCTTTTTCAAAGGGCAGTTGTAGATGATTTTATGATGCTTTGTGTCTGGTCCAGTGTTAATGTTCAGGTCACCTACCATTATATAGCCTCTCTGGTCACAACCAGCATATTGGGTGAAGGTCTTTTGGACATGGTTGACATGTCTCTAGGGTCCCTTTCTTAGGTAATATTAGGTAGCTTTGGGACCATAATCATATAAGTGTAATTTGAATCATTTATCAAATGTGGACATTTTTAATCAGTGGAGCATTGTAGTAGTGATTATCAATGTAGAGTGGAGGGAGTGACAGAAAATCAAAGTTTCAGAAAGTATAATTTGAAAAAGCACTGTCTACACCCCCCAGTTTTGATATGCTTATCCCTGGAAGGCATTCTTTCCTGCCATCCTCCACCCCCATTTAAAATCACTGACCTATAAATATAATATATTGTACTTACCCACATGAAATCCACTTAAAAATACTTTCATATACCACCTGATATCACCTCTTAACTCTGTTTTTTCATTACCTAGAGGAAGTCAGATATAGCTATCAGTATGGATATTTTATGCTGTACTCCCTTCTATCTTTTCTAAATATGTAAGATTCATCTTAACACCAATCCTTATAGTCTTTTAGAAAAGTGTCTTTGTAATTCTACTCATTGTTTCTTACCTCTGAATTTCTTTACCATATATCGATCTGTTCATTTCTTCATTAATTTAACGAATTGGTAATCACAATTCCTTAGTTACTTCTTTAAATAGAGCCTTCAGTGTAAAAATCTTGTCAAAGCTTTTTCAAAATAAAATCATATTCACTGCATTATTAATCCCTCTTTTGAGCTGAATTGTGTCTTCACTACAGTCTGCCTTCCTGCATTCATATGTTGAAGTCCTAACCCCTCACCCCCGTACTTCAGAATGTGACTTTATTTGTAGATAGTCTTTAACGATGTAATTAAGTTAAAATGAGGTCATGGGTTGGCCTTAATCCAATGACTGGTGTCCTTATAAAGAAGAAATTAGGACACAGACACACACACAGAGAAGGAAGACGGAGTGAAGATACAGGGAGACAACAGCTATCTGCAACAAGCCAATGGGAAAGCCTCAGAAGAAACCAGCTCTGTTGACATCTTGATCTCACACTTATAGCCCCCGGAATTGTGAGAAAATAAATTTCTATTGTTTGCGCCACCCAGTCTGTGGTATTTTGTTATAGCAACCCTAGCAAACTGATAGAACCGCTATGATGAGTTCTAATAGATTGATCAGGAATGATTATTTACAAAAAAGCAGGCTACCTTACTCCCTATAGTTTGGTTTTGCTTATATTCTGAGAACATACCATTTTTCCACGAATTTTGCTGGTTTATGGAGCTTCACTGATTAGCAGCTGTCACACTGCCTCCTTTGTTCAGTACTCCCATCATACACATTATACACACATCAGTCATTGTAGCACAGCTACTAATTCCACAGTTTCATCCTTGAGTTCACTTAGAACTGCCTGGTACATACTTCTCAGAGTTGCTGATTTGGGTTATGTATTTGGATTTTTACAAAATAAGTAATGTCTAATCCTAAAATTAAAAGCTACAAGTGTTGGGGTACCTGGCTGTTTCAGTTGGTAGACCAGGTGACTCTTGATCTTGGGATTGTAAATTTGAGCCCCACGTTAAGCATAGAGATTACTTAAAAAATAAAAGTACAAGTGTTTTTAAATATTTGGACCCCTACTTCATATCATATACAAAACTTTATTTTTTTTTTAATTTTTTTTAAGATTTTATTTATTTATTTGACAGAGATCACAAGTAGGCAGAGAGGCAGGCCGAGGTGGTGGGGGGGTAGGTGGGTGGAAGAAGGCTCCCTGCTGAGCAGAGTGCCCGATGTGGGGCTCGATCCCAGAACCCTGGGATCATGACCTGGGCCGAAGGCAGAGGCTTTAACCCACTGAGCCACCCAGGCGCCCCAATATAATCTTTTAAATAAATAAATAAAACCTTAAAAATAAAAGTCTTATATGTAGGGCCAAAGATGCCATTAATAAAAGTCAATGGACAAAAACAGAGTTAAAAAAAGCTTGTAATGAGTTAAGGTCTATCACACGAAACTCTGACAAATTAGAACAGAGGAAAAAAACCCATTTTTTAAAAAAAGGGTAAGGAATACAAAGTGATAAATAAGTTAATTACATCTGTATCGGTTGACATAGAAGGCTGTTTATACAGGGGGCACCTGGCTGGCTCAGTTGGTAGAGCGTGCCACTCTTGATGTTGGGGCTGTGAGTCAAAGCCTCACATTGGGAGCCAAGTTCACTTAAAAAAAAAAAAAAGCAGCTCCATACAAGATATTGAATGGAGAAGAAAAAAAATGCAGAAGTGTAAGAAGTGATGCCGTTTTTGTAAAGAACTCAGTGCATTTTTCTCCTCCATGTGTGTGGTGAGAGAACGTGAAAAAAAATGGAAGAAAGGAGTAAGTACAAGTGGAGTTTAAAAAAAAAAAAAAAAAGATACTAGCCCCTCAATCCCAGAGACACCATTCTACATATTAATTTGGGGGAGGAAAATGTGTGTGTAAACAGACATACAGAATTTGAATGTGTATGCATATGTTTTTTACAAAGGTGTACACACTATTGATTACCTCAGGCAGGTAGAATGGGGGGGAGGCTTGCCTTTAATACATCTTTGCATTGCATTGTTTCACTTGCTATAACAGGCATCTATTATTTTTATAATTTGAAAAACGAAATTTAAAAAATTATGCAAAACACCACCAATAAACATTTTGTTTATGTTACCTATTTATAAATGGTATTTTCCCATTCATCTACCCTTCCATATCTCTCCTGATTTGCTGCTGGAAGCTCTATACCCTTTTGGCTACTCACCTAGCATCTGACAAACTGCAACAAGAACTAAGCATTCCAATTCACACATTTCTATGATACAAGCTTTTACCAGTAGCACTTAGTTTAGTTTTCTTTTTTCTGCCACTTCCCACTCTTATTTGCTGAATCTTTTTGATTGACCAGAAGTACATACACCTTGGGATACCCTCTGCTGAGTCTTGGGAAACCCCAGGCTCATGCTTGTGCTCTTAGGTGGTCTTTCTTCCCAGTTTTCCATTCAAGCAACTGTTATCCATAAGTGCCTGCAGGCTAGAACTGTTACGTTTCAAGAGCAGTGCTGTCCCATAGAAGTACAGTGTAAGCCCCATAAGTCATTTTAAATTTGCTAGTAGCCACATTACAAAGGTAAAAAGAAACAGGTGAAATTAATTTTAATGTATTTTACTTAACCTAATATACCTAAAATACAATTTCAACATGTAATCAATATTTTAAAAATATTTTATATTCTCTTTTCCATACAAAGTCTTCGAAACCCAGCTTGTGTTTTACACCTATAATATATCTCAATTGGGATTAGCCACAGCTGAAGTGCTCAGTAATTCCATGTGGCTAGTGGCTATAGTATCAGACCCCAGGGTTGAACAGGAGCTCATCACCTGAAAGCCCTATAGTTCATGACAAATTTATAATTCCTCCTCTTTGGCTGATTTCCTTTTCCAAATTCATTAACACCTCAGAGTATAAATAAGGTACAGTGAGTGTTGCAATGAACACACATTATCATGAACTCAATACTTACCATTAGGCTGTTTCCAAAAATCAGGTCCACCTTTAATAGCTAGACTTCCCATGGAGGCGATTCAGGCCCACAGAATACAGTCCTGTCGTTAGTTGGTGGTGTGGGTTGAAATCTCGACTCTCATTTACTACCAGGGCCAATTTCATTAGGACTCAGTTTCTCGTCTGCAAAAGGGTGATATTTACATCACTTACTTCACAGGTCCTTAGGAGGATTAGAGGAGTTAATATAGATAAAGCATCTGGAACAGTGCCAGGTACAGAATAAATGTTCAATACTGGTTAGCTGTTGTTCCCGTAAACTTGTAGCAGGATATGTGTAAGTCCCAGGAAAACACGAGAAATTCCGAAGAGGCTAAATTCTAGCTCAGGCCACCCCCGACGTAGGGCCCACGTGCGCGGACCCACCAGGCCTCGTTACAGAAGGCTCCACTCCCCTCTCCCTTCCGCGCTCCCCGGCCCGCACTTCCCCGTCAAGGCTGAGGCGCCAGGTAACTAAGGCAAACCTGGGGAGACACCTGTGGCCGGCGACCGAGACACTTTTCGGACAGGGTGTGAGGAGGTCCACTGGAAGCGGGAGGGACAGATTCTTTGACTCTCCAGCTATCTGGGTACCCGCCCCGAGGTGAGACCACAAAACCGGCCTCGGACCCCGGGGACTTCCAAACCTCCAACCCCCTCCTGCGCAGGTGGTGAAGACTCCGGTCCTTAAAGACTGCGCGTGGTGCCCACGAGCCCGTGGGTGGGTGGCGGGGCGGGGCCATATTAAGCCCCGCCTCCTCCGCCCGGCTCGAGCCTGCTGCGGACCGCTAGGCCGACACCTAGGCCCTCGCAGCCAATCGAGAGACGCGGCGCAGTTTCAAATAAAGACGGCGGGTGAACATGGCGTCTGCTTTTGGGTCTGGGAGGTGATCGCTGCGCGTTCTGTGGTGAAAATGTGGCGGGTGAAAAAACTGAACGTTAGCCTGTCGCCTTCGCCCCAACCGGTGAGCAAGAGAACCTCAGGGACGGAGAGAGCTGGGTCGGGGCTTTGGGGCGGGACGCCGCAGCGCCGAGTGTCCCGGAAAGCTGGGTCGAGGGGAACCTGGGGAAGGGTGTGTGTGTGTGTGGTCTATTACCGGTCCTGCCGCTTAGGCGCGGCTGCGGTGGAAGTCTACTCTTCTATTGCCCCAGGAGCTTCTTAGAAAGGGAAGAGGGGCCGGCCTGGCCCAGCCCAGGCTTTCTCACACTCTGCTTTCTCAGGGAAAACCAGCTATGAGAACTCCTCTCCGAGAACTTCTCCTGCAGCCCGGTGCCCTCACCAACTCTGGAAAAGGGCCCCCGATAGGCTACTCGCCGACCTCATCACTGTGCAAGCTGGGATTGCAGGTGAGATTCGCCTGGCTGGCTTCTCGACTGGGCTCTTCGCCGAGGTCGAGAGCTCAGAGGAACAGAGGGCCAAGGCTGGAACGTAATTAATAAGGATAATGAAGTCTGCTGCCTTAGTGACATCCATTTACAGCTATTCAGGCCAACAGAGAGGTGCCCTAGGGTGGTTAAAGGAAATCCACGGGGAACCCAGACCTCTATTTAGCTGTTAGTTTTTATCACCTCCTCCCCCGTTAAACCCTTACCAAACTACTGAGAAACACTATCACTTTGATTAGTGGTTCTCCCGCTAATGTGGGCTCACACGCAGAGATCAGTCAGCTGCCACAGTGAGGCAATACCCACGTTCATTCCAAGAGGTTGCCAGAACTCTTCCTGGGATCAAGTTACCCCACTAGAAGGCAGGGTACCTGGACAAGACTTCTTTTAAACTAACCCCATGTAGAATTGCCCTCACTGAGTTGTACTTTTTTCAAAAGTCTTGAGAGAAGTAGCACGTGGAAACTGCTTTTCAGTTGTTGTAAAAACTTGCCAAGGAAGGAGATTGACCCCTCTATAAAATTCCTTAAAGAAATTTCTTTTAGAACTTAACTGCCTGGGATACTTGTCTTCCTGAAGAAATTGCTATCCTCTTCTCTTTCTTTCTGATAAGGAGAACTAGGTAGTCTACCGTATTTTCCCTCTTGCTTTGGCTTCTAGAGAGCTCAGGGTCAAATTTGATCATCAGATATAGCTACTGTTACTCCTTGAAATAGGAAGATTTGCTTCCTTTTTCTTTTCTATGATTTGGTATCTCATTAACCTCTATCTGCCCTTTTTCATGCAGACTAAATTATTTGTAACATTTTTATTTTTAGTTGATTTTTTAAAATATATTTTTAATTTACTCATTTGTCAGAGAGAGAGCACAAGCAGGCAGAGTGGCAGGCAGAGGCAGAGAGAGAAGCAGGCTTCCTGCTGAGCAAGGAGCCCAATGGGAAACTCGATCCCAGGACTCTGGGATCACGACCTGAGCCGAAGGCAGCCGATAAACAGACTGAGCCACCCAAGTGTCCCTATTTTTAGTTATTTTTATTTTTTCTTTAGTAGGCTCCATACCCAAAGTGGGGCTTGAATTCAGGACCCCAAGTTCAAGAGTTGCATGCTCCACCCACTAAGCCATTCTGCTGCTCCTTTGGAGTCTGAATTATTTTTGAGATACAGTATAAATTAAATAGGTTAGAGGAGGAAAGAAGAATATGTAAAAACAGAGACTTCCTAAATAACATATGTATAAAGGTAGCGGCCTTTCTTAAAAACACTGTTTTAACACTTACTGGCCAGTAGAACTTTCTGGTGGGGGGTTGTCATTTGAGCATCTGACTCTTGGTTTCAGCTCAGGTTGTCCTCTCAGGATCATGAGATTGAGCCCCATGTTGGCTCTGCAGTCTGCTTCCCCTCTCCCTCTCCTGCCCCTCCCTCTGCTCGCTCACCCTCATTCTCTCTCTCTCTCTCTCAAATAAATAAATAAATCTTTAAAGAAAAAAACAAAAAACAACAACAACAAAAAAACACCCAAAACTTTCTGGGTTGAAGGAAATGTTTGATAATATGTGTTGTCCAGTATGGTGGCCATGAGTTTTGTAGCTTTTGAGCACTTGAAAGGTAGTTATTATGACTGAGGACCTAAATTTTGACTTTTAGGGGAGCCTGGGTGGTTCAGTCATTTAAGTGGATGCCTTTGGCTCAGGTCAGGATCCCAGGGTCCTGGGAGCAAGCCCTACATTGGGCTCCCTGCACATCAGAAAGCCTGCTTCTCCCTCTCCCACCAACTCCCCCGCTCCCCATACTTGCATGCTCTCTCTCACTGTGTCTGTCTCTGTCAAATAAATAAATAAAATAAAATAAAATTTTTTTAAATTAAAAATAAAATAAATTTTGGTTTTATTTAATTGTAATTTACCATATTAGTACAGTCTAGGTTAGAAAAAGAGTACCTGCCTCCCTTTCCCTGCTCTCCTATGTGTGTACTTGTGCTCTCTCTCTGTCTCTCTCTCTCAAATAAATAAATAAATCCTTAAAGTAATTTTCTACATCCTCACCAACACTTGGTACTTTTTGTTTTGTTTTTTATAGTGGCCATTTTAATGGGTGTGAGGTGTTATATCATTGTGGTTTTTATTTGCATTTCCTTAATGATTAGTGATGTTGAGGATCTTTTCATGTACTTGTTGGTCATTTGTATGTATTACATCAAGAAATGTCTATTTTCAAGTTTTTTGTCCATTTTTTTTTTAAAGATTTTGTTTATTTACTTGAAAGAGAATGAGAGAGAGAGCATGAGAAGGGGGAAGGATCAGAGGGAGAAGCAGGTTCCCTGTGGGACTCGATCCTAGGACTCCAGGATCATGACCTGAGCCTAAGGCAGTCGATTAACCAACTGAGCCACCCAGGCACCCCAATTTTTTGCCCATTTTTAAAAAAGATTTTATTTATTTGACAGATCACAAGTAGGCAGAGAGGCGGGCAGAGAGAGAGGGGGAAGCAGGCTCCCCACTGAGCAGAGAGCCTGATGTGGGGCTCGATCCCAGGACCCTGAGACTATGACCTGAGCTGAAGGCAGAGGCTTAACCCACTGAGCCACCCAGGAGCCCCTTTTTGCCCATTTTTAAATTGGGTTATTGTGTTGTGGTTGTTGAATTGTAAGAGTTCTTTATATATTATATATTACCAGTTTTAAGATTTTCAAATATTTTTTCCATAAGTGATTTTTAAAAAAAAATGAATAGGAACTTGATAAACACAGCAAAAACTGTAAGTGCACGTTTACATCTCTGAGTCTTTGGTTTGTTTATTTAGTTTCTGAGCTATCTTTTGCATACTGATTTATGTTTTTTATTTCATATCTTCATTTATGTTTTATTACGATAGTGCTCTAACCTTACTAATATTGCTGTCTTTGCTCTCTTTGTTTGCTTTTATCTCATGTCTCTTTGTCATCACTTTATTTTCTACTTTTCCTTTAAAGCACTTTGAAAGAAAAACTTTTAAAAACTGAAAAAAAAAACAACAAAAAACTGAAATAAAGAGATGCCTGGGTGGCTCAGTCCGTTAAGCCACTGCCTTTGGCTCGGGTCATGATCCCGGGGTCCTTGGATCCTTGCTAAGCTAGGAGGCTGCTTCTCTCTCTGCCTCTGCCTGTCACTCTCCCTGCTTGTGCTCTCTCTCTCTGACAAATAAGTAAATAAATAAAATCTTAAAAAAAAAAAAACTGAAATAAAATGTGTGAAAGTACATAAAATATACAACTTAACAAATTTGTATGAAGCACCTGTCATTGTAATCAACACTCGGTCAGCAAAGTGCCAGAATATCAGAAGCCCTTTTTAGCTTAACCTTATGTTTTAAAGTTTTATCCACTGATGTAAATGAGAGATTTCATGTAAGTCTGGTTTTTTGTTTTTTGGGGTTTTTTGGGGGTAAATAATTGGTCTTTCTATCTCAAGCTTCTGAAATAGTTTTATCTTCCTTATATACTTCAGTAATTTTATTTTTTCTTAACAGTCTTGCTTGGAACTTGGTAAGCCATTTCAATATGCAAACTCTGGTCTTTCTTTACCTTGGAGAAACTTTCTTTCTTTTTTTTTTTTTTTTTTAAAGATTTTATTTATTTATTTGATAGAGAGAGAGATCACAAGTAGGCAGAGAAGCAGGCAGAGAGGGAGGAGGAAGCAGGCTCCCCGCTGAGCAGAGAGCCCGATGTGGGGCTCAATCCCAGGACCCTGGGATCATGACCTGAGCCGAAAGCAGAGGCTTTAACCCACTGAGCCACCCAGGTGCCCCTTGGAGAAACTTTCTTATAATATTTGTTAATTATAATATTTGTTGATTTGTTAATAATCAAATATTGTTAATTATAAAATTTGTTAATTTCTTCATGGAACTATTTTCTTCACATGTTAGATTTACTGGATTTATCTTCCAGTTCTTTTAGGTCTTCCCTAAGGTTTATATTTCTTTGTATTTTTGTCTTTGCTTTAAGATACTTTTCCACTTGATCCAGGCCAGTAATTCCAACCTCTACTCTGATCATTGTCTTTCAATTCATTTTATTGAATTTTTTAATTTAAAGTAATATTTATTATTTCCATAAGGGCTTTGTGTGTGTGTATTGTACTATTCTCTTTTAATTCAGTTTGCTGAATTTTTTGTTTAAAAGTACTTTTTACTATTTCCAGAAGGTCTTTGTATATGTGTGTTGTTGTACTCAAATCTTCTTCCATTGTCATCTGTTTCTTCTATCAGCTGTTTTGTTAGGGTCTACTTTTTCTAACTATCTTAGGATTTGTCCTTTCTGTGGCTATTAGATCCATTTAAGTACAGTCATATTTTCCTTTTCTTGTTCATTGAGTCTCAGGACCAGCAACCCTGCAGGTGGTAGAAGGCGCAGTAGTCTTTGTTGCTGTGAACCAGCATGTGGGGGGTTATCAGTCCTTTATAAGGCACCAGGAGGAAGTCTCTGCTCTTCATTTTCCTCTGCTGTAAAGGTTAGAGCTCTAAAAATCCCAAGGGTTAAATGGGTTCATCCCATGTGTTTCAGGACACTCTCAGCTCTTGAGGCCAAGGAGACTAGGTCACTACTTCAGGTTGACGTTGCCCTTTTTCCTAGGGTCCATAGATTTCTGTGGTCCCCAGCAAGACAGTACACTAACTCTGGTCCCCAATTTCTCATCTATCCCAGAAGAGGGAAAATCTTGGAGCAACTCTAGAGTCTGGCAGAGCTTACCTAGAGATCCTTCCTACCCATTCCTCTAAAAGTGGGTTGGAGTTAGGATTGGAGACAAGTGGGTCACATTCAAGCTACCATCTCCCCAGGATATAGATAGATTATCTCAGCCTTGTTTATATTGTAGGCTTGTTCACTTGCAAAGATCTAAGTTGGTTTCCCAGCTTTAGTCAGGGTTTAGTTTAGGGTTTCTTTAGTGAGCAGCAAGACTTAGCCAAATTTTACCTACACAGAGGTAATGAAAACTCTTCCTTTGAGTTCAGACAATATTCTGTACCCATAATTATATGTTGGGAACCTGAATTGACTGCCTTGGTCACCTCCTTTTGTTTTCTTTGGCAGGAAGTCAGCAACACCACATCTCCACCCAATTTTATCAATGCCAAGAGGACTGATTCCCCTTCAGAACAGTTCACCCATCCCTCAAAGTGGCTAAAAGATCCTTGTCAGCATGAATCAGTTGAGCAGCCCCTAGATCTGAATCCCCAAACCAACTCTACTCCCAAAATATCTGAGGAAGCTGTAGATCCACTGGACAATGTGGTTAAAACCATGGTCCTTGTACCCTCTCCAGTGAGACAACAGCAAGACGTTACACTTGAAGCTCATTTAGATACTATGACAGAGACAAACAGCATCTTTCCAGATGAGCCTCTGAGGCCAGGAGATCTGCTAAGAGAAGGGGTGGCAGCCTGCAAAGAGGACAGCTTTTCAGAAGTTGTTCCTGCTATGCCTGATAAACCTACATTTCCGTATCCTCCATCCCATATCTTGGAGTGTCTACCAAATCCCTGTTCAGAGCAACAGCCACACTGCTCCAAAGAAAGCCTCAGGGGTGGTAGGACTGAGGCTGTGGTTGAGGACTTAGTCCCTTCGGAAAGTAATATCTTCTTGCCTTCCTCCATGCTCTGGATCTCCCCTTCAACTGCCTTAGCAGATTTCCCTGCCAGTCATGTGGACCCAGGGGAGGAAATTGAAGAGCACAGATCTGTAGAGGAAAGAGAACTTAGCTTTCCCACACTCCCTGAGAAGGTTGAGTTAGGAGATCAAGCACTTGTCTCAAATATGGGAGATACTCCATCCACATGCCTAACTCCAAATCCAGGAGAGATGGAATCTCAGGCAGCTCCAGACCCAGCAGTAGAAGATGCTGGTAGGGTTCTCATCTCTGATACAGGGCCTTGGATGTCCCCACTGGCCTGGCTGGAAAAAGATGTAAATACTTCGATTATGCTGGAAAATCTCCACCAGAGCTTATCCCTTCCCTCTGTGCTTCGGGATGCTGCGATTAGTACTACCCCTTTCCCTACTTGCTCGGTGGGGACTTGGTTTACTCCCCCAGCAGCACAGGAAAAGAGTACAAACACCTCACAGACAGGCCCAGCGGATATCAAGGATGGTACTTCTGAGACAGAGCACCTCCTATGGGGGTAAGTGTCCCTGTATCTTTGTGCCCCTGGGCTCCATTACCCAGGACCTGCTGCTCCCCTCCCCTCACCCTTTCTTTCTTCTCCTCATGTTCTTTTCTTGCTGCAGCAACCGTCCTCCGGATCTAACTGCCTTATCTCGACATGACCTAGAAGATAACCTGCTGAACTCTCTCATCCTCCTGGAGGTTCTCTCCCGCCAGCTGCGGGACTGGAAGAGCCAGCTGACTGTCCCTCACTCAGAGGTTCGGGACAACAGCACACAGACTGACACATCTCCCAGTGGGGTAAGAAGGTTCCTCCCAGTGGGCCTTCTTCTTTAAAATATGTATAAAAGCTGAGGATCTGGAAAATCCCTTAGAGCTGTGGGTACTCACTATACCCCTGGGATACATCGTCATTTTCCAAGGGAATATAAGCAAGGAAAGTTTTAAAGGAATCAGTTTCTAGATGTTCATCTTTCACATGTACTCTTTTTTTTTTTTTAATTTTAATTTTTTATTAACATATAATGTATTATTAGCCCCAGGGGTACAGGTCTGTGACTCACCACACATGTATTCTTAACTAATTTTTTTCTTTCCTACTTCCCCATTCTCAATGGCCCTTTCCTACTTTACTAAAGAGCAGCATATTCACGACCTATCCTGAATCTTACATTGTCAAGGAATAGCAATCAAAGGACAATAGAAAATCTTTGTGTACATGCTGAGAAAGCAAATGGCTGCAATGGTAATGTAACACATCATGTGGATTATTAAAAATTTTGACCGAAGTTCACTATTGAGATTTTTGGCATGTTTCTCCAAAGGAGCGCCTAGAATTGGGTCTTTTCTTCCTCCATTCCTACTTATTCTCATTACTTATGTGAAGCAGATTCTCAGTTCTTACATCTAGAAGAAAGGAAAATCAGCATAGAATTGTTGCTGAGGCATGTCTTAGTGTAGGAATTATAGTAATCCACAGACACATGAGTTAATAAGGGGAGGGAATTGCTGTCCTTTTTATTAATAGATTATTCCCAATAAAATGTTACTGGGTTAAATGGACTTCTGTTGTTGCAGAGATATTGATTAATAATAGACTTAATATATTATAGACTTAAAATATATTACATGAGGATAAAATTCTGAGCGTAAAAATACAAGGTTCAAGGAAGAAAAGGGATGATAAAAAATTTCTGACTCTTTTTAAAGATTTATTTAGTTGAGAGGGAGAATGTGCATGCATGCAGAGGCAGAGGGAGAGTGAGAAGGAGAGAAGCAGACTCCCCACTGAGAGTAAAGCCCAACGCAGGGCTTGATCTCACCACCCTGAAATCATGACCTGAGTTGAAATCAAGAGTCAGATGCTTAATCAACTGAGCCACCCAGGGGCCCCCAAATTTCTGATCTTTTTTTCTTTTAAATTTATTTTATTTTGGGGGCCCCTGGGTGGCTCAGTCAGTTGGGTGTTTGCCTTCGGCTCAGGTCCTGATCCCAGGGTCCTGGGATCGAGCCCCGCATCAGGCTCCCTGCTTGGCGGGAAGCCTGCTTCTCCCTCTCTCACTCCCGCTGCTTGTGTTCCCTCTCTTGCTGTGTCTCTCTCTGTCAAATGAATAAATAAAAATCTTTAAAAAAAATTATTTTATTTTTTAAATTTATTTTATTTTAAATTTTTTTAATTTTTAAATCTATTTTCATTATTATTATTATGTTTTTAAATTTCTGACCTTTAAGAAGAGCTTGTGTGTGCATTTTTGAAAAAGATTTATTTATTTGAGAGAGAGTGTACATGTGCTTGGGGGCAGGGGCAGAAAGAAAGAAAGAAAGGGAGAGAGAGGATCCTCGTGTGAACACCCTACTGATTGCAGAGCCCCATGTGGGGCTTGATCCCAGGACCGTGAGATCATGACCTGAGCCAAAATCAAGAGTGGGATGCTTAACTGGCTGAGCTACCCAGCGGCCCCTGTTTATGCATTTTTTTAAAAGATTTTTTATTTATTTATTTGACACACAGAGAGAGATCACAAGTAGGCAGAGAGGCAGGCAGAGAGAGGAGGAAGCAGGCTCCCTGCTGAGCAGAGAGCCAGATGCGGGGCTCGATCCCAGGACCCTGGGATCATGACCTGAGCTGAAGGCAGAGGCTTTAACCCACTGAGCCACCCAGGCGCCCCTGTTTATGCATTTTAAAAAATATATATTTTATTTAACTATTTGAGATAGAGAGTGAACGAGAAAGCAGGAACAGGGGAGCAGAGGGAGAGGGAGAAACAGGCTCCTGCTGAGCAGGGAGCCTGATGCAGGGCTCAATCCCAAGACCCTGGGATCATGACCTGAGCCAAAGGCAGACACTTAACCAGCTGAGCCACCTAGGGGCCCCTGTTTATCCATTTTTTAATGGTGTCAAATAGGTATTAAATTATTATGGTATGTGTAGTATTTATACCATTGGATATATTGAAGAGTGATTTAACAGTTTTATTCCAAACTACCAATATTTATTTATTTATTTATTTATTTAAGATTTTATTTATTTATTTATTTGAGAGAGAATGAGCGAGAGAACATGCTGAGCACGGAGCCTGATGTGGGGCTCAGTCCCAGGACCCTGTGATCCTGACCCCAGCCGAAGGCAGAAGCTTACCTAACTAAGCCACCCAGGCACCCCTCAAACTATCAATATATTTTTTTAAAGATTTTATTTATTTATTTGATAGAGATTACAAGTAGTCAGAGAGGCAGGCAGAGAGAGAGGAGGAAGTAGGTTCCCCACTGAGCAGAGAACCCAATGCAGGGCTTGATCCCAGGACCCTGAGACCATGACCTGAGCCTAAGGCAGAGGCTTTAACCCACTGGGCCCCCCAGGCACCCCTCAAACTATCAATATTTATAACATGGTTAAAATTACAGCCTTTATAACATTTTAAACTTAAGAGTACTCTTTCAAGAGTAGTCTTTCAAGGTTATTCTGTGAGATATGAGAGGAAAACAGTTCAAAGACCACTATTCTAGAGGATTCTGGTTGTGACAGCACAGGTTGAGAAAGGAAGGGAATGGTGTCCAGGGAAGGAATTGAGTGCCTCAGTCTTGTGTCCTTTGAGATAACGGGTAGCTGCTGCTAAGAAGAGCTGGACTCCAAATGCCCAGAGACCTGGGGTTGAAAATATCCTCAACTTTACCTTCTGCCAAAATCCTGACCTCTTTCCCCTCTCTTTCCCTGAAGCTTGCCAAATCCCTTTGGAGGCCACTGAGCCAGAGCCAAAGAGAGGCAGTGACAGCACCTGCCGCCATTCCCTATTCCCTATTGCAGTGTCCTGTCCTTCCCGCTTGGCTGCCTCCTTCACACTAATCTCATCACTTGCCTGACTGCCCCGCTCTGAGGAGCATGCGTGCCCTGCCCGGGGCTCACAGAGTGCTGTGGGCCTTACCACACACGATGTGGTGGGGAATAATGGCCGCTCTGCAGGGGAGGCGAGCAGCGAATGCCACAAGCTCTGTCCCCTTAAATCCAGACTGCTGTAACATCATGACTCAGCACTGCTGCTCCCACAGGTTTTGTCTCAGATGATGGCTGCCTTTCAGCAGTAATGACATTTCTGGGCTTTTCTCTCAGAACCTGAGTCTTTGTATGGCTCTGCTGTCTCAAGATCATACTTTTCCACTCTACACAGCATACTAATTTTTATCTGCACTAAGATAACGCATAGACAGAGAATGAGAAAAATGACTAAGAAATATTTGAGAAGGTTACTAGAAATTAAGAGAATTACAAATTAAAACAATGAAATTAAATGAAATTAAAACTATTTTCGTCTCACAAAATGGCAAAAAATAAAATAGATAATACTGGTAAGTATTGTCCCATTGTCGGTAGGGTGTATAAATTGGTTCAACCTTTTTTGAAAGTAGTTTAAGACCGTTAAAGCAATTCAGACTTTTTGACCCAGTAGTTCCACTTCTAGGGATGTATCCTAAGAGTTAAAAAAAAAAAATGCTGCATAAAGACAGTAGCTTTTTTCGAAATGATGAAAAAATGAAATGAAAAATAGTGGTACATCATAAGATGGGATATTCTGCAATGTAATTTTATTTATTTATTTATTTAAAGATGTTTATTTGAGAGAGAGAGAGAGAATGAGCAGTGGGGAGGGGCTGAGGGAGAGAGAGAGAAGCAGACTCCCTGCTGAGCGGGGAGCGGATGCTAGATTTCAGGACCTGGAGATCATGACCTAAGCCAAAGGCAAATGCTTAACCAACCAACAACCACCCAGGCGCCCCGCAACATAATTTTAAAGTATGCTTATGAAGAGTTTTTAATAACATGGAAAGGAAGTATAACATAAATCATGGCTTTTAAAGAAAGGAAATTAAAAAAAAGAAAGGAAATCAGAGTTTAGATAATTTCTGAAAGGCTTCGAGGTGAGGTAAGGTATCAGTGGAAGTTAAAAATGAGTGTACTCTACTTTGATAGGTCCCCCTAAAGCAGATGTTCCAGTCTCAGGCTATTTCAGTGAAGAGAGTGAATATAAACTCAGGGTTAAATAACATTAATATAATGAAATTAAGTAATAGAACCAGGCCCCCACGTTTATTTATGTTATAATCTTAGTTGTGCATATTCAGATGCATCCCAATTTCAGTGGCACTATTGTATAAAAAGATAATCATCTTAGAATTTATTGAATAAGGTAGTTTCTTTTTTCAAGATTTTATTTATTTGATAGAGCACAAGCAAGGGGAGTGGCAGGCAGAGCAGGGAGAGCCCGATGCAGGGCTCGATCCCAGGACCCCGGGATTATGACCTGAGCCACCCAGGCCCCCTAAATATGGTAGTTTCTTTCTAAATCAGTAATCTCCCTGACACCTGAGGGAAATAATATACTCCTCAGTTACAGCAAATCCCTATAGCCAGAAAATCTCTGGTGTGGAGTTATAGTGAAATCTTTCAGGGTAGTTGCTATACTGTTGGTTAAGAATCATTGCTCTAGGGGTCCTTGGGCGGGTCAATTGGTTAAGTGGCCAACTCTTGATTTCTGCTCAGATCATGATCTCAGGGTCCTGGGATAGAGTCTGGGTCTGGATCCGAGGTCAGCAGGGAGTCTGCTTGGCCCTGTCCTTCTCCCTCTGTCCCTCTCCCCACTTAATGCTTGCTGTCTCTCAAATAAATAAATTACATCTTAAAAAAAAAAAAGAATCATTGCTCCAGATGGTGAAATTATTAATGGCTTCTTTTTCCATTTTATTCACTCTATATTTCCAAACTTTTATAAACCTTTAAACACATGTCATCCTTATAGTTAGAAAAAAGGTTATTTTGAAAAGGAATTTTTTATGTACCTCTGGATTTTTTTCTGACTCAGCTTCCTCGAGCTGTGAGCCTTGCTCCTGCTTTTCTTAGGAGAGGCTCCTGGATCTTGGCAGATGGGAGCGGGAATGTGGCGCTGGTGGGGCATGTTGCCTCTGCAAAGGGCACACTTTTGTTTCTCTGACTAGATAAGTAAGAAGCCTCAGCATCTTCAGGAGAGCCAAGAGATCGGACAGGCTCTGCAGCAGGCCAGGAATGTCATGGTAAGTACTGATTGCCTTTTTACCATCTCTGGGTGTCCTGTGACGATCAAGAATGAGTCTTGGGGCACCTGGGTGGCTCAGTGGGTTGGGCCGCTGCCTTCAGCTCAGGTCATGATCCCAGGGTCCTGGGATCGAGCCCCGCATCGGGCTCTCTGCTCGGCGGGAAGCCTGCTTCCCTCTCTCTTTCTCTGCCTGCCTCTCTGCCTACTTGTGATCTCTCTCTCTCAAATAAATAAATAAAATCTTAAAAAAAAAAAAAAAAAGAATGGAGAGTCCTGGGTGGTTAGCAGATGGTGATTATCTTCCTACTGGGAGCTTGAAACTGGGGTCAGTTGTTTCCCCTCCCAGTGCCCTTGGTTATTAGTTCCAGCTTAGTGACTTTATTTGGTCTCTGGTCTAACCTAACCACCTTTCCCTTTACAGCAGTCGTGGGTGCTGGCTTCTAAAGAGCTGATATCCTTGCTTCATCTATCTCTGTTGCACTTAGAGAAAGATAAAATTGCCGTGAGTCAGGAGGTAAGCAGCACGAAGGTGAAGGCACTCCAGTGAGACTGAAAGTCCAAAAAAAGGAACCGAACGCGGTGTCTGATTCTTATCTTGTAGTCTCGGCATGCAGAAACCCTGGTCTCCTGCTGTTGTGACGTGTTGAAGAAGTTGAAGGCAAGGCTCCAGAGCCTCAAAGCAGAAAGGGAGGAGGCAAAACACAAAGAGGAAATGGCCCTTAGAGGCAAGGACGCGGTAAGGTGCCAGGCCTTTGTTCCTGGATGTGGGAGGTCTCTTCTTCAGGGTTCCTGCAGGAACACAGAGTTACTTTCCCTCTTCCCTCAACAGGCTGAGGCTGTGCTAGAGGCTTTCTGTGCACATGCCAGCCAGCGCATCAGCCAGCTGGAACAGGACCTGGCATCCACCGGGGACTTCAGAGGCCTTTTGAAGGAGACCCAGGCCCAGCTGGTAATTTGAAGGCATTTTCTTCCCTGGGATCTAAGCTGACACACCGGGAGGATGGCCATATCCCCGCACTCTGTTGTATCCAGAGGGAAGGGGCCATCTCTGTAGGCAATCCTTCTTGTGTAGGTTGGGCTTCATGCTGAGCAGGAAGAGGTGGCTCAGCAGACGGTGAGTCTGACTTCAAACCTACAACAGGACTGGATATCCATGCAGTTGGATGTGAGTATTTGGGGCCATTATATCACCCTTTACTCCCAGCCCACCCTGTTAGGAGCCCTGCCTCGAATGTGCTCTCCTGACCTGCTTGCTTCCCCTGCTAGTATGTAACATGGACAGCCTTGCTGAGCCGGTCTCAACAACTCACAGAGAAACTCAAAGCCAAGAGCCGGCAGACCCTGCAGGAACGTGATGCTGCAATTGAGGAAAAGCAGCAGGTACAAACCAGAAGTGGGGACTTCTTAGGCCTGGTTTCCTCCTCCTCCTCTGTAGAAGGCCTTTCTAATGAGTGGTATCATTAGCCTCTTTCCCTGGTTGTGTCCTTTTTCTCCTCTGGGTTTGGAGACCAGCCAGGTCCTTTCACTGTAGATGGCTTTGGGCCCAGTTTTTTCCTTTTCTCTTTAGTACCTTCTTCAGCTACTTTTCTCCTCTTTCTCCTTTTTACTGGGAACCTTATTTCTGCAGTGTTGCTGCCCAGGAGCAAGGTGCTTTGCTGTTCTGTCCAGAAAGAGAAGCTGGGCTTAGTCCTAGGATTCCTGATTCAGGAAGAACCATAGGAGAAAAATCTATCTTTTCTTAGGTTTCCAGGGAGCTGGAACAAGCTACTACCCATTTAGAGGACTGCAAAGGCCTAATAGAACAACTGGAGTTGGAAAATAGTCGTCTAGCAACAGGTAGGGGTGTGTGTTTGTGTGTGTGTATGTGTGTGTGTGTATGTACACATACATACATGAACAAGCCCTGTGCCCTGCTGAAGCCTGGCGTGTGGCAGTAGAGCAAGGAAGTGCTGTGGAGCATTTTTTTCAGAGCAGAAGAATAGAGAGGTTTTGGCCTGATGACTACATGGTGTCATTAGGATACTTTTGGTTTAGATCTCCGGGCTCAGCTGCAGAGTCTGGCCAGCATGGAGAGTCAGCTAAAAGAGCTACAGAGTCAGCATGCCCATTGTACCCAGGACCTGGCCATGAAGGATGAGTTGCTCTGCCAGCTGACCCAGAGCAATGAGGAGCAGGCTACTCAGTGAGTCACTATCGGGTTGTGGTGGCAGTCGGCACCCAGGGTGTAGGATGGCTGGGATCTAACAGAAGGTCTCTGGCAGATGGCAAAAGGAAGCGGCAGCACTAAAACACACGCAGGCAGAGCTGCAGCAGCAACAGGCCGTCTTGGCCAAGGAGGTCCAAGACCTGAAGGAGACCCTGGAGGTGAGGAACATGGCTGGGGGCAGGGGAGCCGGGAGCAGTGTGCCTCTTACCTGATGCTGTGCTGGTGACGTTTGAGGCTGGGGACCAGGAAGAGCCTCTGTTCCCAGGGCTCTGAAATTTCCCACTTAGCTCATTTTCACCCCCTCCCTCTCTCGCCCCTTGCCTTCCTTCCTTTTCCTGTGTCCCCAGTTTGCAGACCAAGAGAATCAGGTTGCTCACCTAGAGCTGGGCCAGGTGGAGTGTCAGTTGAAAACCACGCTGGAAGCACTCCGGGAGCGCAGCCTGCAGTGTGAGGACCTCAAGGACACTGTGGAGAACCTGAAGTAAGATTTCTACCTTTCTGTGCTTCACCTACTAAGTGTTTATGCTTCCTCGGAGCACTTCGGAAACTGCAGTCTCCAAGGAGACTGTGACATGATCCAAGAACCTCTTGTTTTCCTCTTTTTTTTTTAAAGATGTTATTTATTCATTCGAAAGAGAGAGAGAGAATGAGAGTATGAGAAGGGGGAGAACTAGAGGGAGGGACAGCAGACCCCACACTGAGTGCAAAGGCTGAGGCCGGGCTGGATCCCAGGACTCTGAGATCATGACCTGAGCTGAAATCAAGAGTCAGACACCCAACTGACTGAGTCACCCAGGCACCCCATGTTTCCTTTTTGAATGAAGCTCTGTGTGGGGATTTGGGAGAAGAGTTCAGAGAAGGTTGCCTGATCTTCGGCTGTTTTCTCTATTCCTTCCTGATTTCAGGGCTAACCTGGCTAGCACCATAGCAGAGAACCAGGAACAACTCCTGGAGAAGACCCGCCAGTATTCCCAAGAGCTAGGGGTGCTGACTGAGCAACTACGGAGACTCACCCTCTTCTTACAGGCAAAACTAAAGGAGAAGGTAGGATCCAGGGATTCCTTCTCTTCCTTTCCAATCATATCTTCAACCAAAGACAATTTTATTCCTTCCTTCCCAGTCTGTAGATTTTTTATTTCCTTTTCTTGTCCTACTTCATTAGCTAGAACTTCCACCACTACATGGAAAGGGAGGGGTAAAAGGGGACATCCTTGCCTCATACCTGATCTTAAGTATGATGTTAGCTGCAGGCTTTTGTAGGTTGAGGAAGTTCTCCTCTATTCCTAGTTGATGAGAGTTTTTCCAGTTGTATCTTTATCATACAAAATGGTCTTCCTAAAACGCTACTCTTCTTCCATCTCTGACCTTCACTGACTTTCAGTCACCTACAGGACTTCATCCTGTCATCCTTTTTTTCATCTGTTTCCTGCCTATTATGAACACTTTACTCCAACTAGACTGCCTGTATACCACATGTCTCTAATCATACATGCCCCGTCTCTAATCATACATGCCCCGTCTCTAATCATACCCAGACTTGGGCTGTTACCATGCCCATTTTCCTCTGTCTTCAAACTAGAAATACCTTTTCCTTTCTTTATCCTCCTTATTTCAACTTCTTTCAAATGTTCCAGAATCACATGGACTCAGTGATCTCCTGCTGTATTCTTCATGAACTTACTCTCCTTTTGCACTTGCATTAGTTTCCCTCAGATGTCTGTTCTCTTCATCTAGATTATGATGTTTAAAGAAAGCAGATGGGACACCTGTGTGATTCGGTTGGTTAAGCATCCCACTAGATTTCAGCTCAGGTCATGATCTCAGGATCATGAGATCAAGCCCCAAGCTGGGCTCCACACTCAGTGTGGAGTCTGCTGGAGATTTTCTCTCTCTCCCTCTCACTCTGGCCCTCCCCCTGCACTCACTCGTCCTCTCTCTTTCTCTCTCTCTCAAATAAATAAAAAAAAAAAAAAAAAAAAGGGGGCATCTGTGTGGCTCAGTGGATTAAGCCTCTGTCTTTGGTCATGATCTCAGGGTCCTGGGATCGAGCCCCGCATCAGGCTCTCTGCTAAGCAGAGAGCCTGCTTCCCCCCACCCCACACCGTCTGCCTACTTATGAACTTGCTCTCTTTGTCAAATAAATAAAATCTTAAAAAAAAAAACCAAAAAAACCCAGAAATTTAGCCTTTCTTCTTTGCCTTTCCCACAGTGCACACCACACAATAAATTGTTGATATCTTTCAGAATAGTTAATTAGCTTATTCAACATTGAAAGGTACAACCAGGATCCTGAAATTTGGAAGTGCTTATGATCTGACCCTAGTGTGTGCTGAGCACAGAAAATGTGAAAGAATCTACAGTGTTGCAGGGAAGACAGGTGTAACCTTGACATCTTGACTTGGGATCATGATAGAGGTCTTCATGGAGGAAGCAGCAGTTATACCTTTGAGAGTTAGCATGTCTTCTCAGAGCAGGTGATCCTTGGGCAGAGTCTTGAGGTTTGGAAGGTGGGGGTGGGGCAGGGGCAGGGTTATGTAGGAAGGCCTACTAGGCAAAGTCAAGAGAGTGCCCTTCTGACTATGAAAGTCAGAGAGGCACTGTGTGTACTCTTCTTGTAGTGTCTGCCTTGTAACATGACCTGGGTTAGGTGCTGGGGCCACAGGTGAACAAGACAAGGCCCTGCTCATATGGAATTTGGCAGGTTTGGAGTCTGGGAAGTAGCTTTTCAGTATAGAAGCTATATGGGGCAAGAATGACAAGGAGAGGGGCGCCTGGGTGGCTCAGTGGGTTAAAGCCTCTGCCTTTGGCTCGGGTCATGATCTAGGGGTCCTGGGATTGAGTCCCGCATTGGGCTCTCTGCTCAGCGGGGAGCCTGCTTCCTCCTCTCTCTGCCTTCCTCTCTGCCTACTTCTGATCTGTCTCTGTCAAAGAAATAAATAAAATCTTAAAAAAAAAAGAATGACGAGACAAGACTAGAGAAGTAGACAAGAGGCCTGGAGGCTTGAACTAATGGCGATTATAGAAGGGTTAGAAAGGAAAGGGTGGACTGGATGAATTGAATACATATTTAGAAAATAGAAGTAATAGAACCTGGTGACCAATTTGGTGTAGGAGTAATGTGGAAGAGTGAAGGGTCATCTCTAAATTGCTGGAAAGATGATGATACCTTCTAGAACTGGGGGTGGCACACTTTTCCCATAAAGTACAATATTGTACTTTCGTCTTTTTGGCCATGTTGTCACTCTCTTAACTACTCAACTCTGCCTTTGTAGCTCAAAAGCAGCCATAGATAGTGTGTAAATAAATGTATGGCTGTATTTCAATAAAGCTTATTTACCAAGACAGGTGGCAGGCCAGATCTGAACCACAGGCTGTCATTTGCTGCCCTCCCAATCCCCCGGCCCTAGGATCATAAACTGGAGGAGGAACAGATTTTTGGTGGGATGGGACAGGGAAAATGGTGAGGTCAGCCTTATGTAAACTAAATTTCAGGTAGACTATGGAGCGTTCTGGTAGATTTTTCACAGGCTTTTGGGTCTGGAGATTGGGAAAATAATCTACTTGAGAGAGACAAAGTTCATCCACGTAGTAGTAGCTGTTTTTGTGGAGTTCCCCAAGGCGAGGCCTAGGGAATGGATTAGAGTATAAAGAAGGCCAAGGATGAACCAAAAGGAGTCCAACAGTTTAAGGAACAACCTGTGGATAAAGAGAAGAAATAGTCAGAAAGTTATGAGGCGTGTGTATGAAGGAGAGAGTCATGTCCCAGAAGCTGAGAAAAGGAAGTTTCTTTTTTTTTTTTTTTTAGATTTTTTTTTTTTTTTTTAATTTGACAGAGATCACAAGTAGGCAGAGAGGCAGGCAGAGGGTGTGGGGAGGAAGCAGGCTCCCTGCTGAGCAGAAAGCCCAATGTGGGGCTTGATCCCAGGACCCTGGGATCATGACCTGGGCTGAAGGCAGAGGCTTTAACCCACTGAGCCACCCAGGCGCCCCAAGAAAAGGAAGTTTCTAAAAGAAGAACATGGTGATCGATTATGAAATAGGTCAGGTAAAACAAGAGCTGAAACATGTCTGTGGAATTTGAAAGTAAGGATGTCCTTAGTGAACCAAACAAGTTTTGGTGGAATGGTGAGGAAGAAGACTGAGTGTAGTGGGGTAGGGAGTCACTAGATGTGATAATTTTAGGCGGGAAATATAGGCTTCTTTATCTTTTTCTTGATGGGAGGGGAAAGAGAAAAGGCAGCTTAAAAATGGGATTTAAGTTAAGAAGGTTTTTGTGTTTAATTGTTTTTTTTTTTTTTTTTTTTTTTTTTTTGTGAGAGAATTAAATTTGTGTTTGTGTATACACTACATATTGCTTATCCATTCATCTACCAATGGATATTTGGGTTTCTTCCATATTTTAGCTATTGTGAATAATGCCATATGAACATATACAAATCTCTTCAAGACCCTGCTTTCAGTTCTTTTGTGTATATATCCAGAAGTAGAATTGCTGGATCATACAGTATTTCTGTTCTTAACTTTTTGAGGAATTGTGCTTGACGTAGTATTTGCCACAGTACCATTATACCATTTGACACATCCCCAGCAGTGCACAAGGGATCCAATTTCAGCACACCCTTGCCAGCATTTGGTATATTCTCTCTCTCTTTTTTTTTTTTTTTTTTTTGATAGTAGCTATCCTAATAGGTGTGAGGTAGGACAGGATTTAATTTTAACCTAGCTTGCTTTTCTGGCCTCAGGCCTGCAGGTTTGGCAAATGTGCATGTAAATCATTTGGCTTTGGGGAATTTGAGTGGTTTGGGCCAGGAGGGAGTCACGTATGTCTTCTACCGTGGGAGATCCTTAGGCTATTCTAGGCAGTGGAAGTCTGAATAGTAAGTATAACTGCTTGCATCTTAGAGGTCTGTGACCCAGTTGGCCAGGAGTTAAATGTGCCTGTATCTCTGTCTTCAGGTAAAGAATATCGAGGAGCACCGGCAGCGTAGTCTGGATTCTGTGCAGGAGCTGATGGAGAGCGGGCAGGCAGTGGGAGGCATGGTTACCACCACCACAGGTCAGCGCTCCCTTATTCCCCATCATGTGGTTAGGAAGAGAGGCGCATTTTCGTACATACTCTCAAGATTAACATATGCTGGGGTGGGACCATTTTGTGTTAGGCTAGGTTGAAAGCAAGTGTCTATAGAGTTCCCTAGACATCACATGTAGCCAGAGACATCACTCCTAGCTCTTACAGTACCTTTATTGAGAATGTCTTTTATCTCTTTCCCACTTCTTCCCAGATTGGAACCAGCCAGCTGAAGCGCAGCAAGCCCAGCAAGTCCAGCGGATCATTTCACGCTGTAGCTGCCGAATGTACTATATCAGTTACAGCCATGACATTGATCCTGAGCTGGCAACTCAGATTAAACCACCTGAGGTCCATGAGAACCAGGAAAAGGAAGATCTCCTAAAGAAACAGGAAGGTATTCAGGGCTTGAAAGGCTTTTAGAAGGGGACTACAGTACTTGTGAAAGTAGTAGCTTCCTTCGTGGTTCTGAGTCAGTAGTGTTATTAGAAGTCCCACTGTGCACTGGACATTACTTTGCTCTGCATTATGTAAGGTCTGCTGTAAGAGGCTGAAGTGTGCTCTTGGAGGGAACTGGAATGAATGGGAATTGTTTGATTCTAAAATAAGCAAACATGTTTCTACCCATGAACATCTCACTAAGCTGTTTCTATGGGGTTAACAGGAGAGGTTCCAAGTATGGGTTTAAAGATGGGGTAGGTATTTAGAGAGAACCTTGAGTTTCTTACTTAGCTGCTAACAATTACATAGGGGCTGTGGATACCTTTACCCTTATTCATCATGAGCTGGAAATCTCCACCAACCCGGCTCAGTATGCCATGATCCTGGACATTGTCAACAACCTGCTGCTCCACGTAGAACCTAAGCGGAAGGTGAGCATGGTCCTTTATAGAATGCCAGTTAGCCTCACAGGAACCCATAGACCTTGTGCTTTATTTGGAGTCCAGTAAGAAAAGCCATGATTCAGACTGAAAAAGGGCCTTGTGATTGGTACATCCTCTATTAATCAGTAGCAGCTGTTGAAATTTCACTTATCCAGGAAGGGTCTTGAGTGTTCCAGAGACTGTAGAGCTTGTTTACTTGATTGTTTTTCTTGGTCAGTTCTCTACTCAGTCACTTTGATACCTCTGAAATCAGTAACTAGTCCCCACTATCACCTCCATCCCTACCCTGTGGGACTGGCTTACTGTGAAATCTTTACTACTTCTGCATGGGCCTGCCCCTTACACTTGCTACTAATGCTGACAGATACAGGTAAGCTTTCTAGAAGAGATCCATATTCCTTGTCACTTTTTCTGTTTCACTTTACTGCAAGACATATCTGTTAAAAAATCTTGTTCATTACCTTTTCCGCTGCTTCAGGAGCATAGTGAGAAGAAGCAGCGGGTCAGGTTCCAGCTCGAGATCTCTAGCAATCCTGAGGAACAGCGCAGTAGCATACTACATTTGCAGGAGGCTGTGCGGCAGCATGTGGCCCAGATACGGCAGCTGGAAAAGCAGATATATTCTATCATGAAGGTAGTTACCGGGGCAGTCTGAGGAGAGGGTGTTCTCCTAGGACAAGGGAGATCTCCTCTCAGTTTCTTCTGCCCTGGATCCCTAGTCTTTGCAGGATGACAGTAAGAATGAGAACCTGCTTGACCTGAACCAAAAGCTTCAGTTGCAGCTAAACCAGGAGAAGGCCAGTCTACAGCTGGAAAGCGAAGAACTTAATATCCTCATCAGGTGCCACAGCGTTCTTTCTCTGCCTCTTTCCGGTACCCCAGCTAGGGTTGATCTCTCTTCCTTGCCCGTGTTTTTTTTCTTTTTTTTAAAAAAGATTTTATTTGTTTATTTGAGAGACAGAAATCACAGGCAGAGAGGCAGGCAGAGAGAGGGGGGAAGCAGGCTCCCCGCGAGCAGAGAGCCCAACACGGGGCTTGATCCCAGGACCCTGAGATCATGACCCGAGCCAAAGGCAGAGGCCTCAACCCACTGAGCCACCCAGGCGCCCCTTCCTTGCCCATGTTAATGATAGTCTTTGGGTCTCGTGCACATCATTGAAGGCTGATATAGATTTGGGTACTTCCTGAATGAACCTGGCTGGACTTGGCCAAAAGACTGAGAATAAGAGACCCCCTCCTTTGGCTCTTCATTAGAGCCTTTCCTCTCCTTTCCTCTTAGGAAAGGAGAAAACCAAATGGTTTGGAAAGATCACTTTTGTGGCCTTGCTATGTGCAGGTGAACTGACAATAAAATGTCTTGAAGTTGATCAGTAAGGAGCACAATAGCAGATACAATCATAGGGGTTTATGAGTGGGCATAGACTTTTTTTTTTTTAAGATTTTATTCATTTATTTGTCAGAGAGTGAGCGTGCGCACAAGCAAGTAGAGTAGCAGGCAGAGGCGGAGAGAAAAGCAGGCTCCCCGCCAAGCAAGGAGCCCGATGTGGGACTCAGTCGCAGGACCCTGGGATCATGACCTGAGCTGAAGGCAGTGGCTCATCCGACTGAGCCACCCAGGCATCCCGGGCAGAGAATATTTTATTAGCTGCGGGGGGTGCCTGGCTGGCTTAGTCAGTAGAGCGACTCTTGATGTCGGGATCATGAGTTTAAGCCCCAGACTGGGTGTAGAGATTACTTAAAAAAACAAAAAAAGCAGCAGCAGCTGTGGAACTAAAAGATGGGCTTTAGCTCCCAGGCTCCAGGTGTGAGGAGCAGTGAATCCAGCGGAAAAAATTTAGGGAGTACCTCTTCCAAAATAGGTCCATCTCTGGGTTTACCTCCTGCATCATTCTAGAGCATTCCACCCCACCGTAACCGAAATGCTGTTACCGTTATTGGCTCTGGCCTTCCTGTCCATCTGCAGGTGTTTTAAGGACTTCCAGTTGCAACAGGCCAATAAGATGGAGTTGCGGAAGCAACAAGAAGATGTGAGTGTTGTCCGTCGCACTGAGTTCTACTTTGCTCAGGCACGATGGCGCTTGACAGAGGAAGACGGACAGCTAGGAATTGCTGAACTGGAGCTGCAGCGGTTCCTCTACAGCAAGGTATCGGGTATACAGTCATACAAAGGCAAGCTGTGTTGAGAGGCATTGACCTGTCTCAGGAGTCTTATAGAAAGAGACACAAAGAAGCTAATTATTATATGATTACTGATGATGTTACTGATGATCGAGACATGAGCATAGTTCTCCTCAGACACAATTGTTTGTACTTTGAAATTACACAGATATAGATGAGCTTGATCAAATGCTCCTTTCACTGAATAAGAGTATCCCTAGAAATATGGCCCAGAGGGAAGTCATCTTCCAAGTCCAGCTTGGAATAGAATTGTTAAATCTATATGGACATTCAGCTCTCCAGCAATAAGTAACTAATGGCATGGAGGAAAGGACATGATTCATTATTCCACACCCTTTTCCCCCTGGGAGTTTGGAAATATGTAAGACCATTTTTTAAATATCACAGTGACTGTGGGAAGTGCTATTGGCACTTAGCATCCTTGCCAACCGTGCCCTCGCCAGTAGTGCCCATGAGAAACACTGGATGAGAGGGTGAATTGATTGTATGAAATTGAAAGAGATGCCAAAGGTTGGGATTAGACATTTGGAGAACCTAAAAATAGGAAATGTAGCCATTCTCTGGCAAGCTCCTGAGAAAGGCTAATTATAGTATATTGGGTCGGGGGGTGGTGGGAAATCTTTTTATAGGTGAATAAGTCTGATGACACAGCAGAACATCTTCTGGAATTGGGCTGGTTCACTATGAACAACCTCCTCCCCAATGCGGTCTATAAGGCAAGTCTTATTTCCCCATTCCTCCCCCATTCTCATGCTTCCTAACAAAGGGCATTTGTGGGGCGCCTGGGTGGCTCAGTGGGTTAAGCCTCTGCCTTCGGCTCGGGTCATGATCCCAGGGTTCTGGGATCGAGCCCCGCGTCGGGCTCTCTGCTCAGCAGGGAGCCTGCTCCACTTCCTCTCTCTGCCTGCCTCTCTGCCTACCTGTGATCTCTGTCTGTCAATAAAAAAAAAAAAAATCTTTAAAAAAAAAAAAAAAAAAAGGGCATTTGTAAGATTTTATTTATTTGAAAGAGAGAGAGAAGAGGGGCAGAGGGAGAGGAAAAGAGAGAATCCTAAACAGACTTTGTGCTCAGTGTGGAGCCCGACACAGGGCTAGATCTCATGACCCTGAGATTATGACCTGAGTGGAAATCAAGAATCAGATGCTTAACTGAGCCACCCAGGTGCCCCCTAACACAGGGCATTTGTAAGGGCCCTTTCACATAAATCCAGGGTGGGAGGTAGTGTGGTGATCTGAGAGGTTGAAAGCTTGCCTGGCTTAGCAAGACCATTGCTTTTTCTCTTAGTTTGAACAGACTTGTGGGTTGATTTGTCACTCATTATCCTGTAGGTAGTCCTGCGGCCCCAGAGCTCCTGCCAGTCTGGGCGACAGCTGGCCCTTCGCCTCTTCAGCAAAGTCCGGCCCCCTGTTGGGGGTATTTCTGTTAAGGAACATTTTGAGGTTAGTATACAGTCCTTTGGGGATACAGAAACAAAGGGCACTCAAAAGCTATCTGTGTGTTACTATGCTACATTAGGGGTAGGTAAAACTGAGGGATGATGTCTGAGCTTAATTGCTTCTTCAGCCTTTTTCCTCTTTAGGTAAATGTGGTGCCTCTCACCATCCAGCTGACACACCAGTTCTTCCATAGAATAATGGGCTTTTTCTTTCCTGGCCGAAGTGTGGAAGATGATGAGGTTGGAGATGAAGAAGATAAGTCCAAACTGGTGACTACTGGTGAGAACTTTTATGGTGGAGCTCCAGAAGACTGCGGTAGTGGCCCCGAGATAGCTAAAACTTCAGAAAGAGGATGGCAGCTGGTATGCTCGCTTTCTCGTAGGGATTCCAGTGGTGAAGCCTCGGCAGCTGATTGCGGCGGATGATGCGGCACCACTGGGCGCTGGGAAGGGTGTGGCTCAAGGCTTAAATCGGAGTTCTGGCGTCAGGAGGTCATTTCGGAAAGTACCTGAGGTACCACACATGCCCCTAATGGCGGAGAGATGGGAAAGTCCTGGGGTTCCCTGTTTGGCCCCACTAGGGATTTCTTCATTCTTTTCCAGGGATGAAAGGAGATGGAGATGTTTGGGGTCCTAAGTTTCTTCCGATGGTTTCAGGGACTCACATTCCTTTCCTGCCTTTCCTAGCACCCTGTGGATGATATTGACAAGATGAAAGAGCGAGCTGCCATGAACAACTCGTTCATCTACATAAAGATTCCACAGGTTCCTCTGTGCGTCAGCTACAAGGTCTGCTTCTCCCCAGTACTTTCTAGAACAGGGGGGAATGGAACCAGATAAGATCAGAGATTAAAGTTAGGCACCACCGTCTACTAGTTTGTGAAGCAGGTCTGTGGGTGGTAACCTGCTGTTCCCTCTGCTGCCTTCGGGAGTCAGTACCATTACAGGATGAGGTAAAGGGAAATCAGTAGCTGAACTCCTACTGTAGGAAAGCACTGGGCTCGGACTCAGGTATGGCTTGAACTAAAAATGGCAGCTGATATATCTTTTGATTCTTCTTTTCTCTGTCCCCTCCCTCACCTTCTCTTGCAGGGTGAGAAGAACAGTGTGGATTGGGGTGACCTTAACCTGGTGCTGCCCTGTCTGGAGTACCACAACAACACCTGGACATGGCTCGACTTTGCCATGGCCGTCAAGCGGGACAGCCGCAAAGCCCTGGTTGCCCAGGTATGCCGGCAGAGTTTGTGGAGGTTTGGTTAGCAGGGGCTGGCAAACAGATCCTGTGCTCAGGTGCATTTCATTGTAGGACATATGTAGGACAAGCAGCCTTTGGGGATGGGCAGCTGAATGAAGTGAGCAACTTCTATCCCTACACGCTCCGTGACTTTGGTCAGATGATTAAATTAGATGGTTACTGAGTATTTTGTATATCTTAACAGTTGATTTTTAGGAAACTGAGGGCTGACACAACTTGAGGTTCAGAGTGGGTTCTAATTAGACTGTAAGCTTCTTAAAAGCAGAGATCATTTTATAATTTGAATTGCCCCTCTGTGCCTTCATGTAAGCTTAATAAATCTTTATTGACTTGTTCACATTGATTTATTCTGCTTGTACTGCTAATATTTACCTTCCCTTTTACTCCTCTCTAACCTATCAGGTAATCAAAGAGAAGCTAAGGCTGAAGCCTGCAACAGGGTCTGAGGTCCGGGGAAAGCTAGAAACTAAATCAGACCTCAACATGCAACAGCAGGAAGAGGAGGAGAAAGCCCGGCTCCTCATCGGTTTAAGTGTGGGCAACAAGAACCCTGGCAAGAAGTCCATCTTTGGGAGGCGCAAGTGATCCAGCATCCAAGAGTGGCGGCAGTACAGGATCTGACTCTGGCTTGGGCCCCAGGGACTTGCGGGGTGGGAGGTGCTTCCCTTTACCTATCAGGATTTGTGGGGGGTCAGGAGCCCACAGGGTACTGTGGAGAGAGGCACTGCTCTTTTAGCAGCTGGCCTGTTCCCTGCAGAATACAGTGGATAATAACGCTGAGTTCTACCTCACACTGATCAGCAGGCCAAGGGCCAGAGAGGCATCAAGAGAGCAAGACCCAGGGAATGGGCCCAGGACTAGGATCTGGTTCCACTGGGGCCAACTGAAAGGGTGGGAGGGACAGTTCTGATCAAGTGTGATAAATTTTTATAGACCTATATATAAATATATACATATATATTTCTAAGTGTAATTGCTCTCCCTCTGTGTTAGAAAGTTGAGGGGAGGAGTCGATCTCCTGTTCCTCATTCCACTGCCTTGTATGAGAGGTATTAGGGTTCTGGGGGGAAATCAGCCCCTTCTCAATCTGTGCCAAGTTCACTTGGGAAGATGGCAATAGATGCCAGGGCTGGCCATGTGTCCCCTTGGGGTATGCCCTGGAGAATGGTAAGAAAACGACTTAAAGAGAAAAAAAATATATTTTAAATTTGATTTTTTTTTTCTTTTTGGTGTGTTAAATGCATGGGTTTCAACCTATGTTTCTCCCTCCCCATCAACCTAAGACATATCCTCTAGCTACCACTTCAATGGGGATGACCTCTTCTCTCCTCTGTGAGACTGTATCACAGATACATCCCAGCTCTGCTTTGACACTGGCCTCCTAATAGGTCTCTACACATTTTACTGCTGGCTCAGCCTATTCATAACTGGGGTTGGGGGGAGGATAGAATTTGGGGATAAGAGTGGGGTTTGGCTGCATCAACTTGCATCTCCAGTCATGAATAGCAGAGAAGAGGCGGGGCTCATGTGTAATATAGCATCAGGGGCAGGGGTTGCTTATGTAACTAGGACAGCAGATTTAGCAGGAGGAGAGGAGGCAGAGGCTTTGGATGGGAACAGTGAGCTGTCGGCAGGGGCAACATGCCCCGGTGGCTACTTCTCATAAGGTAGGCTGTGGGGCTCTGGTAGCCTGTTTAGGGGGAGGTAAAGGGGGCATGGGCTTAAGGCCTGGGAACTGACTTAGGAGGGAACTGAGGAGAATGTTAGTGATGCCCACCGTGGAGGGGAACTAGTAGGCTATGCTGTGAAAATACCCCAATTCCATACCAAGAGCCACAGGCTGAATCTCTGATGCCTCAAGGGGAAAAATATCCAAATACTGGTTTCCTAGAGGATTTAAATCATGTCCAGGAAATTTAGGCCTTGGCCCAAAGCAACGGTAATGGCAATGACAATTTTGCCTGGTGCTCAAAAATGGATCCCTAAGGTGATTTGAGGGTATGTCTTCTAAGATGGGAAGAACTTGTAATGCCTCAAGGGCAGAGGTTTAGAGTGGCTCCCTTGGTTCTCAGCAGGGTGACAGCATCCGGGGTCCCTGGGTCCGAGGCTAGAAGAGCCTCTGGTCAGGTGTGGGGACTACCAGGTCAGGTGTGGAAGAGCTGTGGGGACTACGGGGGCATCAGTACCTACACCAGGAGTCCTTGGAACCGGCCCCTTTGCTAACAGAGAAGCCTCTGTCTGAGTGGCCAGTGCCTCAGTTCGTCAACCTTTTTCTGCCGGAATTTCCCATTAGGCCCCTCAGGGGGCATCACCAGCTGAAGGTAGGTCAGTCCCTGGAAGGGGTCTCAGTCTTGGGGAGACATCTAAGAATGGCCAGAGTTTCAATTGTGCTATTCTCCATTTCTCTGTACAGATTTTAGGCCTTGTAGCTAAAGGCTCCTTCGGAACAGTCCTCAAGGTGCTAGACTGTGGCCAGAAAGCAGTATTTGCAGTGAAGGTAGGGACCTAGGTACTCTTCCACATCATTCTCTAGTCCCTGCCTCCAATCTTGGTTTCAGAAAGGTTTGGTAAGCATAAACAACCTGTTGGGAGTCACCACTCCTCTCCTTTTATAGGTGGTGCCCAAGGTAAAGGTCCTACAGAGGGACATCCTGAGGCAGTGCAAAGAGGAGGTTAGCATCCAGGTATGCACAGAGCCCAGGAATGGATCCTAGGAAGAAGTAAACCACAGGTGGACAAAGTACCTTTCCTGTCCCAACTGCCCTGCTCTTCCTGGTTCTGCCCACTCCCTCTGCTTCAACCAAAGTAGATCCTGGGAAAAGTAGTTATCAGCAATTAATTCTAGACCCTTCCATGGAAATCTCTCCAGCATGTCATAGTGTGTTCCTCAGTATCGTGCTGGTTTTGGAATTACCAGGCAGGAAATCCCTACTTAGTTCACCTGAACTGAGAGGTGGGGCAGCAGCTCCTTTTCTGCAGAACTAGGTAAATCCTGACTTATTGGCTGCCTTGATTCTCAGTGACATTTTACCTCCCTAACTTCCTGTTTTCTTCATTCCTAGCGACAGATCAACCATCCTTTTGTACACTGTTTGGGGGACAGCTGGCAGGGAAAACGGCACCTCTTCATTAGTGAGTGATGGGCCTCTCATTCCCAAGAACCCTTTTATTGTACTCCCCACCTGAGAATACCCATTCCTTTGGCCTGTACTCCCTTTGCTCTGTTTCCCTTCTCAGAGCACTTTTCTCTCCCAAGAGAGGGAACAACGGGTGGCATCCGTTTGGGCAAGAGGCCTAAAATGCCTTGAGCCCAGGCATAGTAACCCCAAACATTGCCTAGACTTCTGGTACTTTGCAGTGTGCAGCTACTGCAGTACAGATCTGTACTCCCTGTGGTCCTCTGTTGGCTGCTTTGCTGAGGCTTCCATCCGCCTCTTTGCTGCTGAACTGGTTCTGGTGCTATGTAAGTGAAACAAGAATGGTAATGGAAATGAGGGAAGAATTGAGAGGGAGGGGCAGAGAAGAGATCTGATATTAACTCTGGAGGTCAAAGAACAGGGATAGGAATGGGATGGGAACTACAGGAGAGCTTTAGCACACCCCAAACTTCTTGTCATCTGCAGGCTATCTCCATGATTTGGGCATCATCCATCGGGATGTGAAGGTAGAGTTAAGTGCTTTTTTCTTTGTCTGAAGTGGGGCCTCAGAAGTTCCAACAGATCTAAGAAGGCAGCGGGGGAGGGAGCTGAGAAGAGCTGACCTTGGGGCCTTCAGGAGTGCTAAGGATTTGGGCAAGGGCCATCAATGTATAGGCCTGAATACTGAATAGGGCATGTTTCTCAGCTGGGAGGTATACATGATGGAAGAGGGTTGAAAGGAAGAGGACGGGAAAAAAAAAAAAAAGGAAGAGGATGACTAATAACTTCTCACCTGTGATTTTTCAGATGGAGAATATCCTTCTGGATGAACGAGGTAAGTCCTTTTCTTTTCCTAGGCCCAGAATGAAAGGACCCTCAGTTTGGGAATAAGTTGTGGCTGATGAGGGGAGGACCAGAGTGGTGCTGTTGCTTTATCTGTCATAGGCCATCTGAAACTGACAGACTTTGGTCTGTCCCGCCGCCTGTCCCAGGGAACCCGAGCCTATACTATCTGTGGCACTCTTCAGTACATGGGTGAGAGAGGGGCTAAAGCTGGTGGGTAAGCATTGGCAGGAGTCTAGTTGATTGATGTCAATGACAACTGTCTTTCAAATCTAGCCCCAGAGGTCCTGAGTGGAGGGCCTTACAACCACGCTGCTGATTGGTGGTCCTTGGGTGTCTTGCTTTTCTCTCTGGCAACTGGGAAGGTGAGAGAATGGTAGGGATTTTGAGCAAAGAGAGGAGCTTTGCCCTGTAATGGGAAAAAGACCTTAGGAAATCTTGCCTCA